GGCCCGGAGCAGCCGGCGCTCAGAGGCGGCTCGGGCCTCCGCAGGGGGCGGGACCGAGAGCGGAGGTAGGAGGCGGTTGCTAAGGAAACAGCGTCTCCGGAGGAAGTGACTTCTTTACAACTAGGGACTCTCGGGTACCCGTCACCTATTTGGGGCCGGACGTGTCGCTAAAGCAACCGCCCTAGTAAAGGAAGTGACATCACTCTTTGGGGGTCCTGGGAGGGGCGTGCTGTTGACTAGAAACTGGTGGCAGCTCGCCTTGCCTGCCTCCCAGAGCCTAGGCTTCCTTGTTCGGGAAGTGCAGGACGTCACCTGCAGATGCACAATGAACCGGAAGAACGTATGTGGTTGTCACGTTAAGAACGGGAAGGAATAAAGCGTTGATAGGACAGAATACCATGGTAGTGATGTTTGCAGATTTTAATAATCCAACTCGATTTGAATCCTGGAGGTCCTTGTGAGGTAGTGCCAGCTACTGTCTCTGAACCTGTATAATTTTATCTGGATTAAGGGGATATTATTAACTCCCTTAACGAGTTGTCGTGAGGCTTTAATGAAATTTAATGCGTGAAATATATGGCATGCATCCAATAATATTAAATACGTTCTTTGTGAAACTCAAATTCCTAGGGCTAGGCCAGATATTATCACGTATTTACTGTACAGTTTTTTTTTAATCTTTAAAGAATAATGTGGCTAAAACCAAGCCAGTCAAGAAACTATGGGTTGTTGAACTAACCAAACCCAGAGCCCGTGAATTTGCATAGACCATCTTCAAACGAAAATATTTCTGAAACGTCTTTGGAATAACTTGTATTTCCAGTTTCATTCTTTAAAAAAACACCTTTATTTTATTTTTTATAGTAATTAGGTGAAGGTTTACAAAGCAGGTGATAGTTTTCCATTCAACAATTCATACACATTCGGAGTCAATTCCTCCATTTAGGGCCCTTGAATGCACCATCACTTATGCAAAGTCCTCCTGTGCTTCTGGTTTCCATTCTTCCTTCTTTCCTAACCTTTTAAAGGTTGTCATCTGGCAAATAGTGTCCTTCTAATCTTAATTCATTACTTACTCGAATTAGGAGGTGAGTTCAGTCCAGACGTAAGAGGTCAGACATTTGAGGGTTCCAACACTCGGGGTGTCTTACCAGGCTAGCTGACCAGTATACCTCATCTCTTTTATGATTTTGAATTCTGTTTCACACTTTTTTCTCCCACTTCCTCCAGGACGGCAGAGCAGCTGGTAGTGATAGTCAGGGACCATCTAGTTCATCTGGCCTCATTTAGAGACAGGAGTTGGAAAGCACATAAGGCAGACAGAGCAGGAGGACTCTCACAAACATGAAGCACAAAGAGTGACAGGATGCCTAGAGGGAAATTCCAACAGCCGATGCTAATTTTAAATATTAAATTGTCGGCTTCGATGTCATCTTTGGTAAATGGACTATTCATGTGCTGTGCCCATTTTGGGGGCGTGGGGTTATTTGTATTTTCTTTTAAGATGTTGTAGTTTTCTATATATTTTGGAAATTAGCCCTTTATCTGATGTATTATTATGAACCATTTTTTTCCAATCTGTGGGTTCTATTTTAACTCTTTTGCTGAAGTCTTTCAGTTGCATAAATAAGATAACTGGTTTTGATTTAACACATCAAACCAGTTGCTATCAAATTTATCCCAACTTACAGAAGCCCATGTGCTTCATAACAGAAGTGGGTACCATGGTGTATTTAGTGGTTGATTGTTTAGAATGTGGTAGTTATATAATCGTTTGTCAATTTGAGAGGATTATGAGTGAAGGGGTGGAGTCTAGTCTGTCAATCCAGTTATAGCCAGTGAGGCTTCTGTGTGGGCATGGTCTTCTCCTGAGAATTCTGGGAACTTCTAAATTTCCTCCTTGGAGGTGAGAGACTCTCTCTCTCTCCTCACTCCCTGAGAGACACTCTACTGACAAAACACATGGCACTACGCTGATAGGCCCTGTGCCCTGGGAACTGGAGGAGCCACTTGGAGACCCCACTCAGCACTGAGATGCTTCTACCGCCACTGGATCCACAAGACTTTGCACCCACTGGCCTGTGATCATCCTGCATTTGGCGTCATTGCATGTGTTTCATGACTCTGAAGAGGACATTGTAGATTGGTATAAGTCATATGGGCTAATATTGAACTTATGAACTTGATCTGTACTGGGCTGGGATGTTTTCTCAATATTCAACTGCTCTTGTATACAAAGTTCTTCCCATATACATAGGAGAGTCCATGGATTTGTTTCTCTAGCCTACCCAGACTAACACAAGAAGTAAACTGCTAGAATTTCCTTGATTATTTCTGGCCTGGTGTAATCATAAGAATCATTCTGGGAGGGAGGGAAGAAGGCAGAGCCAAATAGAAGATTCAGGGATAGAAACAAAGATTTGGGTGATGTGGATCTAAGATCCATTGTGGATGAGGGATGTCTTTAGAATCTGAAAGAAAAACAAAGAGAAAGGAAACATGTTCTACCCTAGAGCCTTTAGAAGGAGCTCAGCCCTGTAGAACCATTTTAGGCTTCCAATACTGGAACTGTAAGAAAAAAAATATGTATTGTTTAAAGTCACTACATTACTAGTGGTGTGCTATGGCAGCAATAGGAAATTGATAAATCCTGATTTTAGACTGTTTTTATACACTTGATTTTTAAACTTAACTTTGTGGGAGTCGGGATGAGAAAACTAGTATTAACACATTTCTGTTTTATATTTGTCTTTGCTGTGGATTGTAAAAAAGCATGGGAAAGTATAGACTATTTAGGGGATAATAGTTCACTTTTCTCTCTCGGTTTGTAATACTGTGGTGGTTTGTATGTTCCTGTGATGCTGGAAGCAATGTCACTGGTATTTCAAATGCCAGTAGGGTCACCCCAAATTAAAAAGTTTCAATGGAGCTTCCAGAATAAGAACAGAGTATAAAGAGGTAACTGGGTGCCCAATTCAGGGGAATCCGATGCTGAAAACCTTATGCATAGCATAAAAACATTGGCAGATACTGAAGGCCGAATGAATAGAAGCAGAACATTGTCAGAGATAATACCAGAAGATGAGGCCTTCAGATCAGAAGGCACTCAAAAAATATGACTGAGGAAGAGTTACCTTCTCAAAGTAAAGTCAGCCATGATGACGTAGAGTAAATCCTGTGTAAGTAAGGCCTTCAGGGCCTTCATTTGCTAATAGGGCATGTCTCATAATGAGAAGAAACTGATACAAAAATCTAATAGTTGGAACTTGGAATATACCGTTTCCCCAAAAGTAAGACATCCTCCGAAAATAAGACCTACTTACAGTTTTGCCTCTCGCTGAACTATAAGGCACCCCGAAAATAAGACCTCCCGGATAATAAGGCCTCCCCTGAAGCTACCGTAACTCCGAACTCTGGACGATAGTGGCGGACGCCGCGGCACAGCTCACTGTTAACCGCAGCGCAGCTGGAGCAGACAGGAAGTGCAAGGTTTCTTTTAATCAGTGAGCCCGCGCAGCTGCCCAAACAAGCTGCCACCTGCTGCTTGCTCTACCCTGATGGAGTCTGGCTGACTCACAGTTAGACAGTGAGTCGCGCTGGGCAGGAGTCGTGCACATTGTGTGGACACACAGGGGTGACTGAGGTAGGGGGAAATGTCT